CTCTCCTTTGATCTTATAGATGAGACTACATTGCCTTTCCAAAAGACATGCTGTGGCTCAAGCACCACTAGCTCAGAAGAGGCAAAAAGACCTGCCCGATGCCGGCCAGACCAGGGGAACCAAACATGCTCGGTGGTCGGTTTCCCGGAGGCGGTGACAGAGCCTATGTAATATAAACTACTTTGACCTGAGCATCAATGCATGGCAGTAGCTAGGACCAGTAGCTGCTCTGGGGCTGTCCCAAAGCTCCCGCTGCTCGTGCATGACACCTGTAGGTCCCTGCAGCTGTGCTTCTCCCCTCAGCTGCCTGTTGCGTCCTGCACCGTGCAGACACGCAGCTGTAGGACATGAGAGTGCTTGTGGAGGCCCTTGGGGAGCCTGCGACAAGGCCAAAATTATCTTTGCTCCACTGTATCTCATGTGTTCCTGCGCCTGGTACTCCCACTGGGCAGTGCTGAGAGATTTGACTCATCTCATCCTGCCCATAGACCCTCTGGATGCTCTTTGGAGCCAAGCAAGTTTGCCACACCTGGCTTCAGAGTTGATGGACAATCCCTTGTGGTCCTTATTGCTCCTCATAGCTCCCTGGCCATCCATTTCAGGGGGCAATTCCATCTCCTGCAGGTAGCCCTCATTTTTTTTGTCTATATTCATGCACAGATGTGCGGGCCCCTTCATCATCGGTAGCACCGTATGTTTCTGTTGCATTTTCTCATGGGATGCACGTTTTCCTGCAGTCTCTGTCTTAGGCTTTCTGGGCTATTCCTGGTTGCAAATGCATCTTAGGTTCAGATCAGGCATCAGTTTAGTGAAAATTTCTTCCCCTGGGAGGGTGGTGCAACCCTGCAACAGGTCCCAGATTGCTGGGGGATCTCCATCCTCCATCCTCAGAGGGTTTGAAGCCTTAAATGATAAAACCATGTGCATGAGGCCTGGTGATGCTCTTGCTGCAAGCCAGACCTAGGGCTGGACACCTCCAGGGACCTCTTCCACAGAAGACTTTGTGATCCTCCCTTGCATGCTGCTTTCATTCGAGCATGTCCCCTGTGTCCCTGCACTGGCGCCATAAAGCAGCGTCCCACCCCGTTAGCAACTCATTGCAAATGTTGTTCCCTATGACAACAGCCGTCAACAGCACGGATCCCCGCAGATGCAGGTGCCGGGCGCCTCGGTAGCTATGGCAAAGGTGTGTTTACTTCTCTGTTTGGTGCGTCAGAGCGGAGCACCTGCGGGGCAGGGCTCTCCGCTGCCTCCCCCTGCAGCAATCCTGGCATTTATGGGACGCGTGCGGGGCCGACACCTGCCATCCTGGACAACCACCCGGGACGTGTGCCGCAAAGGAGATGCAAGAGGTCTCCTCCCTGCTGCTGTGCCTGCTCCTGAGCAAGGCACCAGCCTTTTGTCACCTGCATGGGCACCGAGAGGCAGATCTGGGGCACGGTCCCTGCTGTGCTTCTCCCTGCGGTGCATGCGATGTTCTTTCTGCAGCCT